TACTGGGGTGTTATCACTTTTATTCCTTTAAGTAAGGGTCTACTTCATGAACTGCATATTCTTGTGATAGTGGGTTGGGGGCATATCCAGGTATTGATAGTGAACTCAGTGTGTGTGCTCTGCTGACCCAGTATCAGATCTACCTCAGGAGATGCCGCTGAAGTCTATCTACTACAATCACTTCACAGTCAAGCCTCACACTACTGAAAATTAAGAAAGTGAAAACCTTGTTAATATTGTTTCCTTAGTTCTTCTACTTAAGGCTTATGCTTGCAGTAAGATTCTGGAACAAACAGAAGAATTAGTCATTAAATATAACAGAATTGCTATAACATTTTATGAGGGCTAAAAAGAATATTGGGACAATGAGTGAGAAAAAGATGAAAGAAAATATAGAGTTGAATGACAAAAATTGAGGTTAAAAAGAAGTAAAAGCTCAATGTGGGGTATTTGAATTTTCTGATCATGGTCTGTTGCCATCCTTCCTTTATGTTCAACTATTTTAGTAGAACAGTGTGACAGAGGAATAGGGAGTAAGTATAAACTGGGCTAAGAAGACAAAGATAGGAAGAATGATTCAAATTAACACTTTAAAGCTCTAGTACCATGTTGGCTATTAGGCTAACAACTATCATTCAAGTTAAAGAGCAATATGTATGATCATTGGAATTAGTTCTATTTATAACAAACCATGTCAAGGTGATGAAAATTCTTGCTGAATCGTGGTTTATGTTTCATTAGGATTTGGGACATTTAGAAGATGTGTATCAAGCATTCTTTGGCTTTGCATCCCTCCAGAGGTGCTGTGGTGCAGCACTGCTTTCTGTGGACCTCCCATAGGCTGGCTCTGTTCTGGTAGCCCAGGGACCTGTGGCTGACTGCTCAGAGGGTCTTGTGTTGTGTCTGTTATTTTTTCCTCCTCTGAGCAGAGGTTCTGAATGCAGGCTATGGGCTGTGGCCATCAGTATGTCCCCGTTCCCCTCTACAGTGTGCTTTTCCATGGTGGCACAGAGTCTGGCAGCTGTCAAGAAGCATAGATCCTATGGTTGTGGATTTTCCCTGGGTAATCTGTGAGGTAGAACCACTCCTGCTGGCCTATGCAGCTCCCTCAGGACTGTCCTAACTGCTGAGCAAGGGGACTCGGCTGTTTCATATAGGTCCTAGTCCCCTGCCCACATTGTGAGGGGAGAAGCCAAATTTTTCCTCTCATTGTGAGAGGAGCAGGGTCCAGGCAGCATTTATGTGGGTTCTCTCTTGTCCACCAAGGAGGCCTATGGAACAGGGTAGAGGAGAGTGTGGCTGTGGAATCACTAATCAAGACCTCCGAAGACCAAGCAGGAAGCAGGTCTGATTTTATTGCAGCTACCATGTGTATATACTCAGGCAGCAGCAGAGCAGATTACAGGCAGCCACCAGTGCAATTTCTGGTCAACTGTCAGAGCTTACTATGGAGCAAGCAAAGGGACTGTGACACACAGCTTCACTCCCAGGGCTGTGCTTATGGGGTAAGAGGCGGCCTGCTTCTCACATACCTAGCATGAGGGGATTGGACACCCTTAATGTAGGCCAGGTGTGTAGTACTCCATGCACTTGTCCCCACATCTCCCTCCTCTGACTATTTTGCATAGTCATAACATAGTTAGCATCCCAAGTGCCCTTAATATTCAGAGAAAAATTGGAGAAGTATAAGTTTACACTATCAGACACAGCATATTGTGTGACACAAATGCTATGGAATTCAGGGTCACAAGTGAGCCTTGCAACATAAACAGAATATCTATTTGTTCCTGGTGAAGGTCTAGTTCTTCCTGAATGACTAAAATAGCAGCTTGGGATAGTTTACTTAAGTCACTTTGAATGGCAAAGGCTTCTGCCATGGCAGTGGACACATGGTTCACAGTCTGAGCAGTCTGAATACTCTGAGTGAAGCAATGACAGTGACTGTGGCTACGATGGCAGCTACCAGGGCAATACTCCCAGTGATGATGAGGCTAATTGAATGCCTTTTCTGGTGCAGGATCTCATTCAGAAGATTCTTCAAATCCATGTCCCATGGACTCCTCCACTCTGGACAGGGTCACTGGAAGCCAGATTGCTGGGGGCACTCTGAAGATAAATATATATGTATAACATTCACAGCAGGAGTTAGACAATTTGTGAGCCAGCAGGATGTATTGATTGCACAAGGGATCTCTGAATGAGTGATATTTATGCCATCATTGATTATTAGAATGGCAAGGGATGGCATAATGCAAGCTTGTGCATAGTAGGTATGGATATAATTTGGTACAAAGGCAAATATATGATCAGGTTCTGGACTCAATATAGACCCATTCATCCAGCTGGCTGCTGTCCATTTGATGGGTCTAGCTGCCAGCAATATTGGCGTGATATCCGGCATTCCATACTGATTTCCTGCATACCAGTTGGTAATAGCTTGTCCCATGTAGCAGTTATTGCAGTGGCCCGTATGGTTTTGGGGCACATCAGTTACATTCCAGGGAGCAGTGCCCACCCAAGTGCATAGATGTTGTTTTTCCCCAGAGAAATTCCTCTTATCAAGGAGATAAGTTGTGACAGGGACACATTGATTCCATGGGATTATCTGAGGGAGTCTTTCCAAAAAGTGTTGTTGGGCATCTTGGCAGCAAGGGTTTCTTGCATTTGCCATGGGGAAGTCTATGGCTACAGGTAGCATTAACTATAACTCTAAGGTCAGTGAGAGACAGCCCAACATGTGACTTATTATAGTTATCTATAATAGTTTCATTGACAAGAGCAAAACAAAGGGCACTGTCTGGAATATAGATTTTATTATCTACTATGTAGAAACAATGGGCAGAGTAGGTATGGAAATGCTGGTATTCCAGGGTTCTGTCACCTCCTGGATGGATAACTCAGGATCAGCATGGTAGGAACTATTAAAAAATAGCTTGTTAGGCCTTCTTCCCAATTGGCCACCTCTGAAATGGTGGCCTATTGAACAAAGCACAATTTACCTGACGGGAGGCTTCTCTATTAGCAGTGAGCATTACATACACTAGGACCATCATCATAGGCCCAGGATGGGGTTGCCACCAGGCAAAGGGGCCAATCTGGTGGCTTGTTCAACAAGACCTTTATCACCCCAGGTTCCTTTACGTGAGGTCCATTTGTGTTGTTGAGTCCTTTGCTTATGAGGTTTCTCCTCCAGAGTTAGTGCCTTCATCTTCTTGGTTGGTGGTTCTGGGGGTCCAGGGCTTGACTTTCTGGCAGGCACCCAGATGGGGTGAGGCTCCTGTCTATGGTTAGGAGGCGGTCCAGACCATCCCATGCATTTGTTATAGAATCCTTCCATGAGTTCATAGGTAGATGGGAGGGCCCCAAGAGGGGGGCCCAATGTTTATGAGCTGCTGTGTCTGTAGAAAATTTTGAAGTTGAAAGAAAATTGAAAGCAAATAAGGTTTTGTTCAAGGCATCATGAGGGAACTTGGTATAATTTCTCCCCACTGTTTTGCAGTTTGGTCTTTAATTCCTTGTGTGTTCTTTCTATGATGCCTTGAGCCTGAGGGTTATAAGGGATCCAAGTTAAGTGCTGTATATGCCAATCATTGCAAGCTGCCTGAAAACTCTTGCTATTATAGGCTGGACCTTCGTCAGTTTTAATAGACATGGGAACATCCATAATGCCAAAATATTTAAGAAGATGAGAGATGACCTTTTTTTGTGGTTTCTCCTGTGAAGACTGTAGCCATTTCACAGCCTGAATAGATATCTATTATTACACAAATAAATTGTTTTTTCCAAAAGGTACATAATGATTGACATGCATTTAGCATTACGCATTACATTTTAACTCTTGGGGATTCATTCCAGCAAGTTGTAAAGGGCCAATGGAATCAAAGTGTGCTCATTTTGTTTTTGCAATCTCTGACTAGCTGACTGCAAGCCTCCTTAGTCCTGCTTTCATGCAACTGTCATGGCTGAGGCCAGCATAAAGGCTTGAGCTGCTTGTGTCCCTATATCCTGGGGGGCCAAAATCCAGTAATCTAGCATACCATTGCATACTAGTGCCACTGATACTTTCTGTTTCTTATTTAGTGCATCCCAGAACAACTCCTTGGCTAGGGCTACCCTGGCTCCTTCATGAGACACCTTCCCTTCTATGGCCTTGTTTACTCTGTTCTCAGTGTCTTTCTGCCCTAAGCCCTGTATAGAAGCTGTCCCTCCCCCAGTTGGTAACTTCCTCCAGTCTCTGGAGAGAGCACAGTGCACAAAATTATTGAAATAATTTGGTGGACCTGTATCATGTACTGCAGGGGAACTGTAGATTCCTTCTCCCTGCAAGCACTCAGCTGGGAGGCTAACATTTGTGGTGTAGTTAGGATCCCCCTGCTGTTCACATTCATCACAGGAGAATGCCTTCCACTTCAAAAATATTGCAGGCTCAAGAGCTGCTCTGGCTAGGTCTCTCCAGTCCTGAGGGCAATTTAGTTCAAGACTGAGGGATTTCAGCATTTACTCTACAAACAGCCCCCAGGGCCCATCCTCTTTTACTGCCTTCTTTAACTCCTCAGGGCACACAATGTGTGCAGGTACCAAGTGGCAGGGGGCTGTGGTGTGGGGATCATGTTGACTGGGAAGGCTTGTACTCCCTCACCCCACTTCTCATCTCTTATCCTACATAGATGTTCAAAAGTATCTCTGGTTCCTGGGATAGGTTTCTAGGAGACCATGGCTTGGGCCTGTCCAGTAGCCTGATCATTTCTAAGCTGTCATAGTCCCTTGCTGGCTTTGGCATTGCCTCATAAGGAAGCAGTTGCCATTGACTCAGGGAAGGATGTCACCTTTGCCTGTCAGTAGAAGGCGCACCTGCACCACTTGTTACTGCACATGAAGCCTAGAGGTACCATTTCATGCCTGTCTCCCTCCTGCAACTGCTGCAGTTGCTTGTTTTTAGATAGATTGTTGCTCTTGCCTTTTTCCCCCTGTCTGTCTCTCATAGCCTCTTCTTCCCTCAGGGCCATCGTTATATGACAAGCATCTGTTGCAGGGCCCCCTAAACTTTGCTGAATGACTGTCACAATAGGAAAAATGTAGTAAATAAATGTAGTGACCAATCGAGAAGTGGGCCATGAAGCAAACATAGGAACTGCAACATGCAGTCTCACACCCAGGACTGTGCCTATGCTTTAAGTAGTTTGCCACTCACATGCCTAGCATGAGGCAGTGATTTGCCATGCAGACATGCTTAACTCATGTTATGTATGCAGTACTTCATGCACTGTCTCCACAAGCATCCAAACAGGTGTGGTCAAGGTTCAGGCTGGTGGCTGAGGCTTCTCACTGCCTGTCCAAGGCAAATTTCTGCCTTGACTGACCCCCTGGCTGTGGTAAAAGTCTGGGTACTTTTCCTTTAAGCTCCCTGGGGATTCAGGCACCACTGCTCTGCTTTCCCCAGCCACAGCCACAGTTTAGGATCCACACCTCTATGCTGTGAACATTCAGGCAGCTTCTCTGAGCTTTGGCCCATGTGGGCACATGATCAGGGGGACAGTCTCTCCAGGTTTCTTATGACTCAGACTCTTCCTGGGCAGCTGTTCTATGATCCCCTGTCCCTTCCCTATGCTCAGGCCCTAACTTGCCTTGGTGCCCAGATCTGAGCTCTGACTTCCACCTCCTCCAACTGTGGGCCTCTGCTCCTTCTCTGCCTGGACCTGGGGTCAGCCTAGTGGAGTCCTGGGTCTCATTTCCTAGGTGGGAGGCTCCACCCCATGGTCTTTGTTCCTGGTCAGGGGCAGGGGGTCCTAGACACTTTCAGCTAGTAGTGATCCAGCTACACATCCTCTCTAGCTGGATTCTGAAGAGAACCCACTGCAGGGTGTTCTGGTTTAATCTGCTGCTGTCTGGAGGTGGGCAGAGGCT